AGCGGCGCCCTGTTTTTTTCATTTTGCATTGCACTCAGCAGGGGAATCCAGGGAGGAGACAGAGGCGTGGTTGGGCTGCTTGGCCAGCTGCTCCTTTGCTGCATCCATCGGGGCGTGTTCTCCCGTGAGACGTCTGGAAATCTCTCGCTCCCCCCCCCTCTCCTTTCTCTCTGGTTTCTTTCCAACCCGTGATTTCGTATGCTAATACTAGTGAATCTGTTATGACATGCACGGGAGAATGCCTGATGTGAACATATTTGCACAGCTGCCGGCTGCAGCTTTGCATGGGAGCCGTCCTGACATGGGGAAGAAGCCTGCCTCCAGTTACACAAAAGGCATGTAGAGATTATCGGTAGGGAGTGAACTAGAAAGGGAGAGCTGTATGGAGAAAATGATACCCCCCACCTTCATTACTATTCTTCTCCTTTAGGGATAAATCTAATCCAATAAACATGACTTTAAGGGAGGAAAAAGACATTTGAGGTTGCAATTCTGTAGCTCAATTAATGGGGATTAAGCCTAGCTGGACTCAATGAGATTTCGGAGTAAACATGTATAGTATAGTACTTTGAGCTTCTAGTGGGCAACGCATGGGCATTTTAAATTCAAGCAGAACATTTTCTATTCTCTTTTCTTGAGTTCAGACCCTTATGGTGCTAGGAAACTGACTGGGTCATCTTTTTTGTTGTTGTAACCGGTTGTGATGCTCATTTTGAAGAGTTTAAAAACTATCTCCTTCAAAGTATCAAATTAGATGCCAAGCAGTGGTCCAAAGGGCAGTTTTTGCAGGTCGTCTTTTCTATATCAGGTGAAGACAGGTGTTAAAATAAAGCCCAGGAGATTGTCAGACAGGATTAAGTGGACAAAAGTTCACAAATATTGCTTAGTTGGAGGAATCCTGATGGTTTAAAAAAAAAAAAAGATTCTGAGCAGTGTATTCTCCCCTGCAAATGGTGGGTTAAATTCCTCCTTTCTGTTCTGCCCAGGTGCTCTGTGTTGCTGAGTCTCTCCAATATTAAGCTTGATCACTAACTAAAATTGTAAAACAAAATGTTTGTTTGTTATATGCCCTCGTGTCAGAACCAACTTGCAGTTACCCTAATGGGGTTTCCGAGATAACTGAGACATTGATGGAGTGGTTTTACCTGTTCTATTCCCCCAGAGAGTTTCAATAGCCAAGTCGGGATTCAAACCCTCGTCTCCAAAATCCTCGTCCATCACTCTGCCCACAACAACACAGCATACAAAATGCCCCCCCCCCAACAGTTGTTTTCTGGAGTCTTTTCTTGGTCTCAGATACTGCTGTCAAATTGGTCCCAGCCTGGAGCAGACATTTGAAGAAGACAACATTTCATCCCATGTGCTCTACCTCCTAGTGCAGCCTCCCTATCTCTGTGCACTCCCCCGCCCAATCCCTGTGGCCACAGACATCCCTGTCTGGTTGCCCAACCTCTCCCCCACCCAACCGCCCACACATGCAAAGAAGTTAATGGGGTGGCATCAGCCACTTTGCACAGCTGATAGGAGGGCAGAGTGCTGGCAACCAAACAGGCTGGCAACCCTGAGAGTGTGGGGAGGCAGGACACAGCAGCAGCACCGGCAGCAACCTGAGTGCACAGAGGGTGGGCTCAGAAGTGGGGCAGCACCAGCAGAGCACTGGAGGGGAGCATCATGTTGCCATCCCTTGCATGCTTCCATCTGAGGCACCTGCCTCACCAAAACTAATAGCAGGGCTGGCCTTTGACAGATTGGTAGTGGAGGATAGTAGAATGCATAATGTTATGCTGATTTTGTTTTAACTTCACTGTGTTGCAGACTTTTAGATTTTAGTTAAATTCCTCTAGTTAGGTAGCAGAATGTCTGCAGAGATTCACTGAGCAGAAGAGCTTCAAGTTGCCCCGCGTAGTGCACCAGTTTTCTCACTAAGATGAAAACTCACTGTCTCGTTAACTGACTCTGAGACATTGTTGTTGTTGTTTCGTCATTTAGTCCTGTCCCACTCTTCATAACCCCATGGACTAGAGCACGCGAGGCCCTCCTGTCTACCACTGCCTCCCAGAGTTGGGTCAAATTCATGTTGGTTGCTTCGATGACACTGTCCAACCATCTCGTCCTCTGTCGTCCCCTTCTTGGTCGCTTCGATGACACTGTCCAACCATCTCGTCCTCTGTTGTCCCCTTCTTGGTCGCTTCGATGACACTGTCCAACCATCTCGTCCTCTGTCGTCCCCTTCTTGGTCGCTTCGATGACACTGTCCAACCATCTCGTCCTCTGTCGTCCCCTTCTTGGTCGCTTCGATGACACTGTCCAACCATCTCGTCCTCTGTCGTCCCCTTCTTGGTCGCTTCGATGACACTGTCCAACCATCTCGTCCTCTGTCGTCCCCTTCTTGGTCGCTTCGATGACACTGTCCAACCATCTCGTCCTCTGTCGTCCCCTTCTTGGTCGCTTCGATGACACTGTCCAACCATCTCGTCCTCTGTCGTCCCCTTCTTGGTCGCTTCGATGACACTGTCCAACCATATACAGTCTTGTCGTACTCCTTTCCCAATTTTGAACCAATCAGTTATTCCATATTCTAACTGTTGCTTCCTGTCCCACGTATACGTTTCTTAGGAGATAGATGTTTTTCTGGAACTCTCTGGCTTTCTCCATAGTCCATGTTAGCAATTTGGTCTATAGTTCCCCTGCCCCTTTGAAATCCAGCTTGTACTTCTGGGAGTTCTCGGTCCACATACTGTTGAAGCCTGCCTTGGAGGATTTTGAGCATAATCTTGCTAGCGTGTGAAATGAGTGCAATCGTACAGTAGTTGGAACATTCTTTGGCACTGCCCTTCTTTGGGATTGGGATATAGACTGATCTTTTCCAGTCCTCTGGCCACTGTTGAGTTTTCCAAACTTGCTGGCATGTTGAATGCAGCACCTTAACAGCGTCATCTTTTAAGATTTTAAATAGCAAGAGTAAAACTAAGAATGTTTCATTTTACTTATAATGAACAGATAACAAGCTAAAAGAATGACTGCTGTCAGCAACAAACCTCAACAGGCTAAAGAAACCCGTAGCGGTCTAATATCTGAGAGGACAGTTTTCTTAAAATCATTAACAGTGGAGAAACATTCTCTCAAACTCAACATTTGATTGCTGCTTTTCTTAGTACTACCATCTGTGGTTAAAGATACATGCACACAGATTTGGATGTTTCCACTATCACCCTTTTTCTTCTCTCTTCTTCTCAGACAACAGGAGAGAGTATAATGCTGTGCTTCTAAATTCAAGTGAATCCAGTAACACGTACATCTGGATGAGTCTGTATAGGTTTGCAGGACCTTAAAAGACTTAAACCCAAAACTAGGTAGTCAATGAGTTCGGATCTAAACCAATCCGTTGGTCTAACACAAGGTATGCCTTCTCATCTCAGTCGCTGCCTCCATCAAGGTCAAGTAGCCAATGCATATTGGGGAATTCCAAAGTGAATAATCTTAATTGTTTTGACATATCCCATATACTATTTTACAAACTAATTTCAGTTCTGTTCTGCTAACATGTTTCAATTCCATTTAATCTATGCATTTTTATTCTATTTCGTTAAACACATTGACTGGATAGGATAGAATCTGAGGTATTCTCAGATTCCTTATGCCCTTCAAAGGTGGGGGATTGATAGCCGGCCTAACAAAGGAGTTCTGGCAGTCAAAAAGTAACTTTTCTAATGACTGCTGCCTTCTTGCAGTTAGAGAGACTTCTGGAAAAGTAACTGTATCAGTGTGTTGCAGCAAAACCAACAAAGAGTCCTATAGGCACGTATTAAGACTAAGACGTTTATTATGGCATACATTTTTATGGACAGGCAGAGCATATGTATTTTTCTCCATTTCTGAACAGGTCTTCCTTCAGATTATTTTTGTTTAAAATGCATATGCACACGTGTGCATGTTCACACAAATATGTTAGGAGGCTGTTAAGTGTGTCTGTCATGTTGCATCTGCTTTGGCCTTGTTCTTTCTCTTTCATACAACTGGGGTGGGAACTTGTAGCCCCTGATATACCAAAGTCCAAACTTTGGTAGATTCCACTTTCTGTGGACAGGAACCAATAGTCAGGACTGATAAGAGTTTTTCCAGAGCTTTGATAAACAGTTCAGTTTGTTTGACGATGACTTCTTATTTGCTTTCCTCCAGATGCGTGGAAGTCTTCTGTATTTACTTTCATGCAGGTAGAGTTGAAGAGCCATATGTCAGCATTACCAAGAAGAGGCAGATGCCAAAAGATGGGCACTCAGAAGAAGTGGAAAAGGAAGTGGGCCAGGCAGAGGGCAAGCTCTTTACACACAGATCTGCATTTAGTCGGGCATCAGTCATCCAAGCCTTCCTGGGCTCTGCGCCGCAGCTGACACTTCAGCTGTACATATGTGTCCTACAGCAAGAAATTACGGCAGCTAGAAGTATGTATACAATCATTATATGATCCACTGTTTCTGTTTGGTTGGGAGGTCTCTGTTATAAAACCCCATGTTGATTGAGGATGAGAAGTCAATAGGTTGGAAACTCTTCATTAAGAGCCCTGATCAACAGCAATTGATCAAAAGAAAGAGACAGTAGTCCAAAATTCAGGAAAGGCTCCAAAGTCCATAGTTAGCAAAGAAGATATGGCAAACAGATTGAAACAACAAACATGTCATATACTTTCGGTTTAAAGTAACTGAGAAGCTTGGGGTGAAGTAAGGAAGGTGCAGCTCAATTTGATTAACTCAGTTTCCTAAGCCAGGTATAATAGGGCAGAGCTAGAAGTGAGTTCTGACTGATACATATTCATTTAAATCATGTCTTTCTCATCAGTTTGGAGGCAGCTGCTTTGATGTACCTAGGGCTGCAAGTAATATGTGTACGGTATCCTATTGTCAGTTAGGTTGAGGTTGTGAATGATTTGTAGAGCTTTCAAATTCACACCCAGAGATCATTTGCTTTAAAGACTTTGGGGAATCACAAGTGCCCTGCAATAGTGTGTGATGAACACAACCTTTCAAGGAGCTAATGAACCCAACATAACGAAGACGGTAGGCAAGTGGATGGTTGCTGTACACTAAATTAAAATAAATGGAACAACAGTGGTGAGCTAGCTGCTTGATTAATTTTATGTTTCTGTTTCTTCCCCCAAATGGGTTTGAATGTGAGAGTGAATCACATAATGTGGATATTGAAGTGGCTCATGCACTGCTCTTCTCTTCTTCATTTACAACATACTCATTGGGAATTTGTGTGCACATCTCTTTTGTGGCAAGTGGTGTGAGGTCCACATGCTGTTGGCATCTCTGCATCTTCTTGGAGGAGTCTAGAGAGATGTGCATGTTCTCCATCTCAGAAAGCAGCACCACGAGTCACTCATGCATCCACTTTTTGGCAAGTCTAGGAAATGTGTGAAATGATTCTCAACCGTGCAACAAAAGGTTCTGAATCTTCCTGGTTTTCTTCTCACAGTTCTCTGTGAAGTTTTCTTCCATTCTCTTCTTTGCCAGGATTTCTCAGCCAGCAATTCTTCCCAGACAAATCTTGTCTGTAATTTGAGGAAATTATATTCAGGATTTTTCCACTGGAGACTGCTCAGGGAATCACAGCATTGTCTGTTCATCCCAGAGGGAATCTACGCCAGTATGAAACCTCAAAATGTGACATAAATGAAAACATCCCGAAATATTTTTCTCATCCCTAGTAGAAGAAATACAACTGGATTCCGATTCTTTGCTGAATGACAAACATGGCATCTAGCAAACACTACATTGTTTCTGGTTTCATTTTTTTTGACCGGGTCATATTTTCAAGCATTCACTTCCCAGAAATTACGATGTTTGGGAAGTTATCCATTTCTGCTACAGCTCCTTAAAGCCATCCTTTTGATTTTCATTATTGCAAAGTAGTATAGACTCTGAACAGTTGTGGATTGTGGGTGTTAATCACAAGACATGGTCTGAAGGAACGTAATGGTGGGATCATGTCTTCAGTTAAACAATTTCACTATCTATGACTGAGAAAGATCATGAAAAACATACGGAGGGCACCAGGTTAGAGAAGGCTGATGTATCTCACATCAGTCCCAAAATAACTTCATTAGTTGTCTTTTTTCTTCCAAACCCAGTTGAAGGTACAGTGGTGCCTTGCTTAACAAGGATAATCCATTCCAGCCAAATCGCTGTAGAGCAAAATCCTCGTTAAGTGAAATAAAAAATCCCATTGAAATGCATTGAATACCCATTCAACGCATTCCAATGGTCTGAAAACTCATCGTCCAGCGAAGATCCTCCATAGGGGCGGCCATTTTTGGTGCCTGTATAGCGAGGAATCCATCCAAAAACACAGTGGGGAGCCATTTTGCACAGTGGGCTGCCGTTCAGCTGTTTAAAAAGTGTCATAATGTGAATGATCAGCTGTTTAAAAAGTGTCATAATGTGAAGAATCCGTTCCCGAAGCAGGGGACTGATCGTCGCAGAGTGGATTTTGCCTATTAAAACATCGTTTAAAGCAGTCATCATATACCGGTTTCGTCGTTTAATGAAGCAATCGTTAAGCGAGGCACCACTGTATTGGTTCTTACTTTTTAAAGTCCTAAACAGTTTGGGGATCCAAATACCTGGAAGAGCCCCCTTTTCCATTTCACTTTGCCTGTGTGTTAAAAGCTTCTGCTGAGTGCTTTCTCTGGTTGCTTTCTTATCAGAAGTAAGCTTTTTTTCTGACAGTTGGTTATTGAATGCCCTCTCACCCCCTCCATTATCTGTTTCATCGCACAATACCACTGATGAGTCTAAAGAGAAGTACATGTTGGTCTAAAGGATGTCCAATGCAAACAGGTACCTCTCTTCTTAAGGGCATGTCAGTGATTGCATGAAGAAACTGGTGGCAGAGTAGGTGAGACTAGATGGTTTCCTCTAAGTATACTGATATAAATATATTTTATGATACCTGTATAGGGCTCATTTTGCCACTGAAACCAAAAGCCCTTTTAATTACCAAATTATCTTGTATTTTTTAATAAATTGTGTATGTGTTTCAGTACTATTTACTTTAAGGTTGTAAACCTAGCTGTAATCCTAATAGGACAGAGAGTGGTATATAAAGGAATGTTTTTGGTTCCATTATTGTAATGTATCATTATGATGATATAACTATAGTCATAATTAAAGTTTCATGCTTATTTCAACTCTTCATTTTATTTTTACTTTTTGAGCCTTTACAACTCACCTTCCCATTTACATACCTAGATGCGATCCTGAAGCGAAAATGTTTGTCTACTTGTATTCTGTTGCATCACATTCCATTGGTCACCCAAAGTACATTGTTTTGGATCTCTATCCAACGAAGACTCTGGCAATGCATTTCAGAGATATGGGCGAGAAGCTGTCCCATATTGATTTAAAAGCCACTAAAAACAGAGTGGTAGAACATCCAGCTCCTTTAATTAAAAGAAATAGTATGTATTTTAAAAATGCACCTAGTGTAAAGAAACAACATCACATCTCTTCAGCAATTCAAGCAATAAGAGTTAGTAGAAATAATATTCCATTTTACATTTCACAGCAAAGACAATAGAGAAACAATGGTAATTGTTGTTGTCATACATCCTCACTCTCATGATTCTCATCTGTATTACAAAGGTGGTCAGGCATCCTTGTGGTCCCTCCCATGTGTACTTATGAAATGACTGAGCACTTAAGATAACCTTTACCAAAGGTGTTGTCTAGACACAGCAGGATAATACACTGTTTCTCATGGAAGAAGGGAATAGTGCCCTCTAACGTGAGGAAATCAGCTCAAATACATTGTCGAAGTGTAGACTTTATTTTGCAACATGTGCATTAGAAAAAAAACAAGTGGTTTGGTTGATATACCATATCCCAAGCACACGGACTTGTACATGGGTTCTAGCACACCAGATCTGAAGAGGGGTGGGAGAGAGACTGGGAAAGTTAGCATTGTCAGATAAGGAGTGGAAGGAGACAGAAGGGAAATGGCAAGTCAGGGGACTGGATGAATCATAGCAGTGGTGGGCTGTGAAGTCTGACAGAGACAGAAGGGGAACTTAGCTAGTCATGGTCACCTGGCTTCAGAAGTACATAACTCAAATGACCCCAGATCCTAGTTATTCCTGAGCTTGGAAAAATTCCCTTTTTGGACTGCAGTTCCCAGAATCACCTAGCCAGCATGGCCAACCAGTACTGGTCATGTTAGATGGGTGATTCTGGGAGTTGCAGCACCCACTGAAAAGAGGTCTCCCAACCCTATTGTGAATCATTTTTTAAAATGTTGTGAGCTTTTTTATTTTCAGATTTCTCCAAATTAAAAATAGAGCCTTGTTTGCATGAACTGCACCACACTTTTCACAGTTGTCAAAAGGGAGGTCTTTGATGGAGATAATGGGAAGACTGAATACAGACTTGGTCCATACTAAGGATCCTGTAGCCAAAAAGGTTGGGTGTATGAAAAGGGGGAAAGGTCATTGAGAATGTATTGTGCCTTTGGAATTCCCAATAAGTAATTACCTAGAGCTTCAGACATTCAGCTGAATGAGTTCTGGTGCTCTTATCTTAATTGCCAGACTGCAGCCTTGGATTTCAAAGACAACAACTCCCACAGATGTTATCAGTTGTCTCAAAGTTCATGTTGTGCTCCTGTCATATATGAAATTTGCATTTGAATTCAAGGGGTGATCTACCAGAGGATAAAACTCTATGGGTGGCTAAGGCAGATGGATCTTTCTAGGCAAGTGAGGGTGCCAAGTGGTTCAATCAAGAAGTGGAAATTCAAAAGCAAAGCATGCTGCTTATATATCACCCCATAGTGCTTCAAGCACTCTCTGGGCAGTTTACAAATTAATTATGCAGGCTACACATTGCCCCCCCCCAGCAAGCTGGGTACTCATTTTACTGACCTGGGAAGGATAGAGGGCTGAGTCAACCTTGATCTGACTACGTAGGATTGAACCCCAGGTTGTGAGCACAGTTTTGGCTGCAGTGCAGCAGGTTAACCACTGCGCCATGAGGCTCTTTCCTAAAAAAGGTATCACTTGCTCCTGCACTTATAAAAGTATGCTGATGATACCCAAGTTGATTCCAAAGAAGATGTTCTATGCCTAGACCAGTTCTTGTAATTAGTAATGGACTGGGTGAGGCTAACAAACTGAAACTTAATCCAGCACAGTTTTGGCTGCAGTACAGCGATTTAACCACTGCGCCACAAGGCAAAGCATAAGAACTTGCAGTGCCTCTTCCAGAATGTGTAAGTTTTAGATGCCTGGAAGGCTCAAACTACACTGTGATGGCCATTTGTCTCTTTCCAAGGTGATCCTGATAAGTCAAAAGGCAAATCGGGATAGAGATTTCGACACTACTGGATAGGGTTAAACTCCCCCTGAAAAATCAGGTCTGCAGCTTAATGTAATGTCGTTGTCTGCAATCTGTTGTTCCTAATGGTTCTTGAAAGCCTTTAGCTCAGGGTAGAGCATATAAGATTGTATGGAGGAGCAGGTCAGCTAGATGAAGAAAGACTAAATATATATTTCCATGTATAAGACTATACTTTTGTCCAGAACCTTTAGAATAAAAATTGAGGGTTGTCTTATACATGGAAGTAAGCTGAGGGGAGAACAAACACAAGTGGAGGGGAAAGGAGGGATCAAAGTGATCCTGCAGGGCTTTGATCCCTGCTTTCCTCTCTACTTGCTAAGCCTTAACAAAAGGAAAGCAGGGATCAAAGCGCTGCAGGATCGCTCTGATCTCTGCTTTCCTCTCTGCTTGCCAAGTCCCACGGGCTTAGCAAAAGGAGGGGGGAAGGATTAAAGCAATCCTGTGGCTGCATAAGGGGGAAAGGGATCAAAATAATTGTGCAGTCGTGGAATTGCTTTGATCCCTTTCCCCCTCCTTTTGCTAAGCCATGTGAAGCTTAGCACAAAGGGAGAAAGCAGGGATCAAAGACATCCTGCACCACTTTGATCCTTTTTACCTTACATTTGCTAAGCTCCACTTAGATTTATTAATTTTGGGTTAGGAAAGTGGGGGCAGGGGTGACTTATACATGGGGGCACCTTATACATGGGAAATACGGTAAATCTTTTTCATATGGCCAAGAGGGGAAGAGTTAAGCTGTCCTCCCCCACCCCTTGTCTCAGTGTCAAACAATAGAATGCAGAGAACCCATCAGTACATTTGAAATTACATTATTGTTGAGAATATGTGATTCAAGTGATATTTCATGCCTAAAAGAATACTGGCTTAACAAAGGAAGAACATCAACCTATGCTTATAACCTGAGGACCAGCCACAAAACAAGCACATTACAGGAAGTGAGAAAAGCCACAACATGGCACACAATATTTAAAGTTTTATGTCCTGTATGTCTAATGTATAAATTTAAACTCAGTTCCAGGATCAGGACCTGTTATGTGCTTTAAAAAACACGGAGAAAATATTATACAGCCATCACTTGTAGTTTTAAGTCTTGGAAAGCCTGACTATTGAAGTGACTTACAACATCCTCCATTTTAAAAACATAATAAGGTAAAGGTTCCTCTTGACATTTAGTCCAGTCGTGTCCAACTCTAGGGCGCGATGCTCATCCCCATCTCCAAGCTGTGGACCCAGCGTTTGTCCATAGACCGTTTCCATGGTCATGTGGCCAGTGCAACTAGACATGGAATGCTGTTAGCTTCCCACCATGGTGGTACCTATTTATCTACTTGCATTTACATGCTTTCAAACTGCTAGGTTGGCAGGAGCTGGGACAAGCGATGGGAGCTCACTTCATCATGTGGATTTGATCTTACGACTGCTGGTCTTCTGACCTTGCAGCACAGAGGCTTCTGCGGTTTAACCTGCAGCGCCACCATATCCCACATAAAAACATAATAGCATCTTCAAAGTCCTGTTTTAATGCTTACCTCACCTGCACAAATATCAAGTAGGTGCCTTAAACTGTTAGTGCTGGTTTTCTGCAGTGCCAGTTAGTCTGTACTATTGACTGAAATCATCATCATCATCACCATCATCTTAGCATTGCAGGAAGGGACCATATGTATTATCAAGTCCAGCCCTTGTCAAACCTCTAGTTCTGCAGATAGATACTTAAACCACTTAGTTATCTAACTGCTAATAATTAAAATGAGTGGCAGATTATTCTTTTTCTCCAGGGACTATATTTTGGCTGTATATTTTCTAGTGATGGATGAGGCCACAGACAGCTATGGGCAGAACTGAAATCCATTACATCTCCGTTCATAGCTGTCTCCCATTAAGCAGAATAAAGCACAGATTGCTAAGAACCCAGACTGATGAATTTCACCATCCATCACTACTGGGATGGTGCCACTGCTGCTCCAGAAAGCCTCACTTCTCAGATCTAGCCAGGTCCCAAATGCATACCTCTGTGGGGTCTCCAGTGCCAGATATTTCAGCTTAGCTGTCTCTGTAAGGAAACATATGAACCACTTTGTACAGTTGGTGCTGCTCACCATAGAGCCTGCTTACCTTCCATTTGACTCTCAAGAGCAAGGCAGAAGATAGCAGCAACAAGGAAATATACAACCGGGTGTTGGCATTTCTCCATCCCACACCAGACAGCAGGAGAGCCTGAGCAGTGCATGCACACCCTTCCCATTCTCACACACGTACTGACATAGAGCGTTCCCCCTTTGAACTAGAGTTCAAGGTGTTTTGGCTCAAGCGCTGTGAAGTTAGGAAAGTGGAAGCTAAAGCCACTTAATATGATGACCCCAATGATCAGCAATCTTTTTCTGCTAAGCCACAGTTCATGCTTGTTTGTCCCACATTCTGTCCTGTGGTTGGTGGGTTATGTGCAATATATGCTGTGCTTGCTTATTGCTTGCCCTTCATGTATCTAAATTCAGGGCAAAATAAACGTTTGCATTTTGAATATTCAAATTGGTTTCTCAGCATGTCCAGGTAAAAGATAACAGGCTGTGAAAACCTGTTTTGGGACCGTGTTTAGGAACATAATATAAACCTATTTGATTTAATGTCTCTGTTTTCCAGTTAAAGCCCCTTGCTGGCATTTGTTGCTATCTGGAAGCGACAGTGCTGCTTTCAGAAAGTCCTACTTGCCTTTTCTTTTCTTAATCTAGGTATCTTCATGACCCTCTCTCTCTTGTCGATCGTGTACGGGGCACTGCGATGCAACATCCTGGCCATTAAGATTAAGTATGACGATTATGACATCAGCGTTAAGCCGGCTGCCTACCTCTGCATCTTCCTCTGGAGAAGCTTTGAGATTGCTACTAGGGTTATCGTCCTTGTCCTCTTCAGCTCAGTCCTTCAAATTTGGACCCTTCCAGTGGTCCTTGCGAATTTCTTTGCCTTTTTCTTCCACCCGTGGATTCTCTTCTGGCAAAGTAAGTGTACTTTGCCAGAAAATATAGAGAAGGCTTTGACCAAAGTGGGTACCACCATTGTCTTATGTCTTCTCACTTTCTTGTATGCTGGAATTAATATGTTTTGTTGGTCAGCTGTGCAGCTGAAACTTAATGATTCTGACTTAATTGACAAATCCCAAAACTGGTGCAGACTTGCTTTATATTACATCTTGAGGTTCCTCGAGAATGCTTTTCTCTTGTTGATGTGGTACATGTACAAGACAGATGTCTATACTTATGTCTGTGCCCCCATGCTGTTCTTGCAGCTGCTGATCGGCTATTGCATAGCTGTCCTTTTTATGCTTGTGTTCTACCAGTTTTGTCACCCATGCAAAAAGCTTTTCTCCTCCAACATTTCAGAAGGGCTGGTGCTGTGCTTCAAATTCCTTTGTTTCATCTGCAGACCTCTTGCATCCAGCCCCTCTGCGGAAAAGGCAGACTTGAAATCTCCAGATGATACTGAAAATGACACCCAGGCCAGCTACAAGGCCAATGAATCACAAAATGGAAATGCCCACCAAAGTGTTTCTTCTAATGCCTAGAACAAGCAGCTAATGTCAAGGAGACACTGCATAGAGCCACAGTCTACTCCCTCCAAGACTCCTGTGGCTTATTTTAAGGGAGGGAGAAAACCTAGGAATGTATCTGAGCAGATGGTTGTAGATGTCTGATACCCACAGTTTTGCACAAAAGTATGTCCTTTGATTATCCCTCTGCTTAGCATGGTAGGCAGCATGCTGTCCTAGCAAGCTCTTGCAGTATTGGTTTGGTTATTCGGCAGATGGGAAGATGAATGAAGCACTGATCATTAGAGATGGAAGAGATCTCTTCTATACAAAATGCATGACGGGGAGTTCATAAACGTTGTCCTAGAGAGCATCCCCTAATCATGTAATAATAGCTAATGCAAGTAGTTGGGCAAATGAGTTAAACAGATCAATAGAAAGGGGAGAGAGCAAAGCGTCTTGGGCTCATCACAGGGATCAGCAAAGTGTGGGCTCCCATATACTGTTGGAGTGCAACACCCAAGAGCTCTAGGCAACATAACCAATGGGAATGAATGCTGGGAACTTCAGTCCAACAGAATCTGGAGAGCTGCACTTGGTCAAACCCAGGTTAATTGTCTGCTTTAAAGCTTTATTGAAGCTGGACTTTTTTTCTCCCAGTGCCAAGTTGGCTTTGTGTTGGCTGTGGTGTGATCTTACTGTGACTGGTGTGAGTCCAGAAAGGATTGTACAAAATCACCTTTTCTGTTTAATTCAAAAGTTGGACACTGTCTTGCTGGCCACATTTTCCCTCTAAGTGCCACAGATGTAGACTGTCTCCTAAAGGCAATTTCAAGGCTCGAGATTTTTCCAGTTGGTTTTTGTTATTGTATTTGATGGTCTTGCTTAATTGTGTTTCTGCTTTGTACAGTGTTAAGAAAGTTTTGGCAGCTGCATACAATGGAGATTCCATTATGGGAAGTAGTTAAGTGTAAAGTCATTGAAAGGAAGCATCAGCAATGTCTTAAGATCAATATCTGGTATTTTATATAAATTTTCCATTATGTCAAAACCACTGATGTTATTGAAAAGTAGTATTATTAGAAGTATTTGAGTGGCATTAGGTCCTAAAATCAGAAACCAAGATGGCACAACTGATTTGGATATTGAAGTTTGACAGGAGGGAGAAATGAGTTCAAATTCCAGAGGCCTCTGACTCATCCTCTTTGGCTGTTTATTGCACTTTGTAGCTTTCCAAAGATACATGTTATTCAGAGTGATTGTTTACAATGCAATCCTATGCATGTCAGTTCAGAGGTCAGTTCTATTACTACTGTTTTTTTCTGTGTATAAGATGCCCCCCACTTTTCTAACCCGAAATTAAGAAATCAATATTTTAAACGTAAAACAGAACACATTTTTATTTAGTAATTAGGCAACATTTACACACCAGTACCGGTATGCATCATACTTTAACTTTATTCAGCCTCTGGGCTTGGCATGCTCGGACATTACCAGTCCCTGTTGCATCTGAACACTGCCTACATGGTCCACCTCCAACGAGGTGTGTTCCAGTTGGTTTGTTCAGCATCAGCTGACAGAAGTTACATAAGGCTCATGATTGGAGGTAGCCTGTTTGCAGCGGCAAGGTATGAGCAGTTTTGCAATCACGTGGTTCTCTCATTGGCTTACTTCTGTGTATAAAATGACCCTCAATTTTTAGTCTAAAGATTTTAGACAAAAGTATCATCTTATACATACATGTAAAAATATAGTATCTATTTACTCCTAGGAAAGTGTGCATAGAATTAGGGATGGTTTTTTTATTTAACTAAGGCACCTAGAGCTCTACTGGAATTTCCCCAGCTGAAATTCTGGGTGCTTTAGCCCTACCCCCCAAAGTAACCCTTGTAGTGTTTGAAATAACTTACAACGGCTAGTGAATAAATAAGAAAAGAACCATCCACTTCTGAGCTGCTAGGCTGTATAAACTCTGTGGGCACTGCAAAGTACTGTATTAGCATATTATAATTTCCTGAGACACTCCCTATATGGAGCATAATATGGAGGGAGACTACAACAATACCCCTAATGCAATACCCCGTACAAAGCTGGCCAGGAATTTGGTTTATACAGAATGGAGCTTGAGAAAGTTTCTTTTTTGGACCTCCAGCTCTCAGGATCTTCTAGTCAGCACAGCTAGTTGTAGTTTCACTTTGTGAATTTTAATTCAACCAAGTAATTTTCCCGCTCCTGGTCCCAAAGTTGTAGGTCCACTATGAAGTATTTATGAGATATGTAGTTGAAGCAGTTATGTTTGCACGTCTTGCTCTGAAATGTCAAGGGAAGGACCCCTACCCCCCAAACCATGGGCTGCCCATACTGTGAATCTGAAGGAAATACAAACTGTAAAGGAACTTAATACACTGAAGCAATTGTATAGAAATAATTAATAATATTGAGGATGTCATTTTCACTTCCATAGTGTTGACAATCATGTGCATCATGGCAGGCAAAGTAATGCCATGTTTTGTTGGTGCAGGATAGAGTCATCCTGTTGTGCCTCCCGTTTTTACGGAAACGTGTATAAACTTCAGTCCTATTCTCAGACTGGTGTGTCATGTGTGTGTACTTGGACAGTACAGCCCTGTGGTAGGCAGCACCAGAAGCCAATTGTCATTGCACCTTAGCATGACAAATATATATCTAATGTTTTAAATGTTTCTATCAAATATAACACTGTTCTCAAATCTGTATACATGTAGCCAACATTTCCTCCCTAACATTCTTATTTTCAAGAACTGGAATTACAGTTTTATATCTGATAAAATGACTTGCTCCCAGAATAAAATCACTAATGACTGGAAAGAAACTGTTGTGTACATTTGTAATTTGTACAATGGTGGGGATTTTCTCTGAAGGCAAAGGCTGCTCTATTGTGAATCACAAGGAGGCAACAGATGCTGGGGCTGAGAATGTGAAGAACATAGAGGGCACAATCAGATGTCAAGAAAGGATTGTATCTCATCACACTGGAAAGGGTCTCTTTGCTGGGAGCATTCTCCCTTAAAAGTGGCCCTTTAGCCCATGCAGGAATCACTCCAGCTTGGCCCCCAAAAAGAGTGGGCTTGCTGGTGGATCATGAAAAGTCCAGCCTGGGCATGGATCAGGGTTGGGCTGGTTCAGAATCTTCTATAGATTGTGTAATTTTGGCATCAAAAACTCAAGCACC